CTGTAGCCACTGACAGGAACGCCACGGAGTCAACCCCCTCTCGTCTCACTCCCAGGAAAAAACACGCTACAACCCTGCACATCGGCCGTACATTTCTCCCCCACCAATATTTAACGTCTTTCCCTTTCCTTAATCTTCCTCTGATTACTTTCCAAGTTTCGTTTAGTGTTTAATTTGTTCGAAACTAAACTCTGAATACGTAATGCCATCGTCCTTCCCTCTGCAATTAATTATAACTCTACGCCCTCTCTGACGACTGTCTCAATCTGTCCGTTCTTTCCAAAACATCTCGACACTCAGACGTTGTAGTCCCGACGATCCCTGCAACATATCACTCATTGTCCGGTGTCCCTACCACTGTTTAGCATCCCCATTCACCATCTATACCCAGACTAGCGGCGTCAGAGGATCTACTCATTCTCCCGCGCTGGACTTCTTTGCCTGGTAAAGGCGACGGCGGTAGCAGTAAATCCTGGCGGGAAGATACACACACACACGCACATATACACATCCTCGCTCTGAATCACTCATGAAAATTCATCGGATGGCGAGAAGCAACTGTCGTAAAGTTTATTCAATCATACGGCGTCGGCCAGCAGCCGCTGGGGAGCCGCAGGCGGGTGTGGCCGCCAGTGGAACCAGACGTACTGGAGACTCTGGGTGTGGCCGCCAACAGTGGCCAGACCTGCTGAAGAGACTGGGTGTGGCCGCCAACAGTGGCCAGACCTGCTGAAGAGACTGGGTGTGGCCGCCAACAGTGGCCAGACCTGCTGAAGAGACTGGGTGTGGCCACCAACAGTGGCCACACCTGCTGTAGATGTGCTGGCTGCTGAAGGCGCTGAAGGAGACCATATTGAATACTTCATACCCAAGACTACTACAAATTAGGAGGTATTGTCAGGCAACATCACCGTGACAAGGTAACTGAGGAAAGGAGGATAGAAGCACAAACCAGTGAATGAATCTATACGATGGTACAACATGGTTGCAGCTGGCAATCCCAATCATTATGGCCGAAGAGGAGGAGGACGAGGGAGAGAATCAGTAATAGCGAGAATCCGTCTTGGATACAAATATCCTTGGAGATACGGAATGGAAACAACAGTTGATCAGCGAAGTTGCAGAATCTGTGGTGAGAGTGACTGACACCGCCTTGACCACTATCTACGCGAATGTGAACACCTGAGAGAAATCAGAAGTATGTGTAGAATAATAAACCCTACATTGTTTGAGTTAGGAAAACACTATTTGTCAAATATTGATACTGTTCTTAAAAGATTTCCCCATTTTGCACCCGCAAGATAACGTAAGCTTTTAAGGGTTGATAGATGTTAATCTTCTTGTTTGAGGAGTTGTTCACTTGAGACAGTTAAGCAAGTCCCAGCTGTGTCTGGGTACAAGTGACAGGATGAACAACCCAGCGGGGTTTCTTCCTATTGGGGAGTGTTGTACATGCTGCTATGGCGGTGTGTCCACTCACAGGATGAGTGACGCTGCCCAATACTGTCACTATGGCGGTGTGTCCACTCACAGGATGAGTGGCGCTGCCCAATACTGTCACTATGGCGGTGTGTCCACTCACAGGATGAGTGGCGCTGCCCAATACTGTCACTATGGCGGTGTGTCCACTCACAGGATGAGTGGCGCTGCCCAATACTGTCACTATGGCGGTGTGTCCACTCACAGGATGAGTGACGCTGCCCAATACTGTCACTATGGCGGTGTGTCCACTCACAGGATGAGTGGCGCTGCCCAATACTGTCACTATGGCGGTGTGTTCACTCACAGGATGAGTGGCGCTGCCCAATACTGTCACTATGGCGGTGTGTCCACTCACTGGATGAGTGGCGCTGCCCAATACTGTCACTGTGGCGGTGTGTCCACTCACTGATGAGTGGCGCTGCCCAATACTGTCACTATGGCGGTGTGTCCACTCACAGGATGAGTGGCGCTGCCCAATACTGTCACTATGGCGGTGTGTCCACTCACAGGATGAGTGACGCTGCCCAATACTGTCACTATGGCGGTGTGTCCACTCACAGGATGAGTGGCGCTGCCCAATACTGTCACTATGGCGGTGTGTCCACTCACAGGATGAGTGGCGCTGCCCAATACTGTCACTATGGCGGTGTGTCCACTCACAGGATGAGTGACGCTGCCCAATACTGTCACTATGGCGGTGTGTCCACTCACTGGATGAGTGGCGCTGCCCAATACTGTCACTATGGCGGTGTGTCCACTCACAGGATGAGTGACGCTGCCCAATAAACTCGCCCCTCGGGGCAAAATTTAATAAAAAAAAAAATTAAATTTAAACCTGCTGAAGAGACTGGGTGTGGCCGCCGGCACACCACAGCGTGGAAGATCAACAGAGGACGGAAGACAGTCTTCCTTTCCTTCAGGCAAAACAGGAGAAACACATCCTCCACACAACTGTCCCCCGGCTCGTCGAGGTGCGAGTCACCCTTTCCAAGACACACGAAAAGGCCCTGTGCCAGCAATGGAAGGGAGGACGATGAAGGGAGAGGAAAGGAGGGGGAGATTGTAAGCTGCAATGCAATCAAAATATTTAGAGGGATGGGGCGGGGGGATAGGAAGATGCACTGCGACATCTGCAACACACTGTGGGGGGAGACCGTTGTGTCACACCCTGTAGGAATAGTGTGGTGTCACACCCTATAGGGGAGAGGGAATTAGGTGCTTCGACCACCACGTGGGGGGCACCAGTGTTGGCTTGTCAAGCCTCTCATCACACTGGAGGATAAGAGACAGACTAAGAGTGGTCCTCACTCGAGGACCACATACATCCCTGTAGGCTGGTGCGCCACAGAACACTATCCCTTCCGGTTTGCATGTCCGTTACGGGGAACAGAGACGAGGTCTGTATACCTTACACAAAGATTAGAAGAACTGTCACAGTGCTACAGGTTATAATTAGTAAATCAATCAATCCCACTTTCATACTACCGTGCCAGAGGAGTAATTACCCCATCAATCACTACCCTTCGTACCCACATGCTTGTCAGCAGTAGATAGTCAAATAATGATTACTTATAAGCCTCAAAACAAAAACTTTTATAACCTTTGTATTGGAAATTAGAGTTATTAAACAAATTCGAGAGGAACGCACACTGTGCAACGAAATGTTGTGAAATAACAGTTAAAATGTGCATTGAGCAACCAGGCAACCAGCCCTTGTCACCCCATCCCAAGCAACCAGCCCCCGTCACCACACCCCTAGCAACCAGCCCGTCACCCCACCCCTAGCAACCAGCCCCCGTCACCCCACCCCTAGCAACCAGCCCCCGTCACCCCACCCCTAGCAACCAGCCCCCGTCACCCCACCCCTAGCAACCAGCCCCCGTCACCCCACCCCTAGCAACCAGCCCCCGTCACCACACCCCTAGCAATCAGCCCCCGTCACCACACCCCTAGCAACCAGTCAACCAACCCCTTCCACCAGCAAGAAACCACGAAACAGCCCATTTCCCCACCCCTAGCAATCACCCCCCTCCCCCACGCACCTCCAGCGTATACTCCGATAAGACAGAATGATGGATGACCCATTTGCATACCCAGAGGCTCAAGAACTATTTCAATTAAGGTAAATACCGGTGAAACTTTACCAAAGGTAGACGAGCACAAAATCTCAGGTGCCTTAAGAGCCAAAGATTGGTGGCACTCGGTGGCTCAGTGCCACCATAAATATGCCAAGCAAAACTGAAGTTTTTCGCGGGTTGACTGATCCACACGAGCGACGCCTGTCAGCCCTCATGATATCGACCATTGGCTTTCACTCGGACGTCTCAGCCACAAGCCCGTATATACCGTATTTACTATCCCGTATATCACGGGATATACGGACAGTGTAGGACATTGATCTTGTTCATTTATGTCAGTTTACCAAAATATGTGGACAGGATAGTGCTCAAGTGTCCAGGCCCGCGCTAGAGATTCTTACATGTACGAGACATGTAACAGTATTTTACTTTGCTCAGAGGAAGAAAGCCTGCGTTTATATATATATTATTTAGGCTTATATCGAGGCCTCCCTCCCCCCCACCCCCCTGCGCAAGGTCGAACATCTGACGTTTCCCCAGGATGCAACCCCTCAACAGTTACCTAATTCCAGAGTACCTATGTACTGCTAGGTGAACAAAGATATTAGGTGAAAGGAAACGTGCCCAAACATTTCTGTCCCACCCAGGTATCGAACCTAGGGGATTCCAGATTGAGAGTCGAGAACACAGCAACTGGACCCTATCATGTCTACAGAAGCTAGGAAATTTAGCATTGTAATAAGGAAATAAAATTTACTCGTCAAAGTATTTCACTCCCAAACCTGCCACCAGTGTGCAGGCGTGGTGGAGGGACGAGACCACGGGACCAACCCCACGGCCGCCCACGCCCATCAGCGAAGAGGGTCGTGGGCGCGACCTACCCTCACGCCCGCCCCTGCGTTCGGGCCAATCCATGCATATATCACGCCCAATACCATCCAGTACTCGTGCAACGCCAAACACCGGCCACTGCTGCAACCATAATAGAGAAGAGCAGCGCATAGGACAGCCCCACTCCACATGTAAGGCCCCCTTCCATGTATACACCATGACCCGTTCCAGCTCCAGGAGGGTGAAGCCAGGAAAGGTTCCACTAAAGCCCTTCTGAATGTTTCTTGTTATCCCCAAATACACAGGAGCCAGCACCCTCTTCCTTGCTGTCCTTCACATTGCTTCTCTCCACCCATCCTGGACCTGGATTGTACCTTGATGGGGTTCTAGGAGTTGTTCTATACCCCAAGCCCAGCCTCGAGCCTAACTTGACGTGTGATAACTTGGTCCAACAGGCTGTTGCTGTTTCCGGAATACGTACACTTTTTGCTCATGCACCAGCTGGGTCCACCACCGACACCGCCAGCTGGCCAGCGGTCTCGACCATCCCGGACGCCAGAAAAAAAATCAGCGAGACACTACATAAAAGTAAACAAAACAGTGACTTACAGTTGGATGAGAAGGAGTCGTTCTGGCGAGGAATGAGAGCCATAACAGCGGCGTCCCGGACCCCATAGTGAGCCAAGGTGTTCAGGCCTCGCCACCCTCCGGCGCCCGTCACAGTCGTCCGGTCCTCGTCACTCAACGTCACCCGCCCGGCACGCCCGTGACGCCACTCTGCAAAACACCACCACCGTTTATATTGAGATGCAAACAGCACACATGGCCCCATGCTACGGTGAGCTGCGGGGGTAAACAGGCAAGGACTTTCGCGAGGAGGGAAGTGTGTTTGAAGCTGAGTGAGTGAAGCTGGGAGTGTCTGAAGCTGGGAGTGAAGCTACGAGTTTTTGAAACTGTGGATGAGTGCTTGAATCTGTGAATGGGAGTTTGAATCTGCGAGTAAGCGTTTGAATCTTTGAGTTATGAGGATTTAAATAACTGAGTGTCAATCAATGCCTTAAGTTTAATACCAAAACCCCATTAATATGAAATCTTAAAAAAATACAAGTCACAAATATACCAAGTTTGATTTTTAATGAAATCGTCAGCAAATATACATAGATATACAAAATAAGTCAAACTGCATTGAAGCAAATCAAAATGAGACTTTGCAATGACCCTTAAAAATCAAATTTAATGACAAAATACAATCAGCATAAAATGAACACTTCCCACTCAAAACACAAGACAAGGTTTAATTAAAAACAAAATAGAAAACGGAAGAGGCGAAGGGGGGGCCCAACTGACCTAGATCGACCTCATGGACGGAGGGTCGGAGGGACTGCGGAGTGTTCCGGTACAGGGCGTCCAGGATCTTTGCCTTTACTTGGCTAATGGTGTCGCAATCTAGGACCTTCACCTGCACCTTCTCCTCGTACTCCTCGGCGTACATGGTCAGCGCCTGTGGGGGTGGTGGGGGACACCTCGTTACCGACAACTCACAATTCTGGTCATGACAAATATCTCAATAGGTTAAAATAAACAATTTGATCTACGAGATGCATCAACTACTGTGTGTGAGTTCAATAGACAAACTACTGTGCGAGAAAGTGTGACATGGTGACTACACGTGCAGAGTTGTACAGGACTACTGTGATACCATACCATCATGGAACTAGCAAGTGGTTAAGAGTAGTTGTGAAGAATACCAGGGACTACAGTAAAAGATTTGGCCATGGACGTGTAGGCCGGGCGGGATAGCTTCGAGAATAGTGTATAGCCGCTAGTCCGCCCGGCCTTCAAGCTTAAATAACCACATTGAAAGATCTACGATAGCTGGGTGCTACTGCTCTAATCTGTGCTCCAACATCAGTCACCCAATCGATTCCACCACCACCACTATCAACCACCACCATCACCACTATTCCCGCGAGTTAGTTCTATATTTTTGTGGAATACCTAACCGATAGCCTACTGTGTGGATTACCATATGTAACCTCTGTACACCAATGCGCATCAAATCCCATTTATTTATTATTGTACCACTGCTGGTTGTGTTTAGAAGGACCCTTCGCCTCGGAGAAGAGAATATACGGTATGATACCATCCCTACACACTTTTTATTACGATATCTTGCAATCTACACCCAGCTGTACATTTCCCAACACTTGTGTACTGGTCATGAGGGTATACCTCGCTCGTGATGTGACGACAGACCAGTACACCCAGTACACCTGTACTGGGTGTACGACTGCCACTTTGGGATCTTAGAGTCGTGTTCTCACCGCAAAAGGTATGCCACTTTGTATTTAAGGCTTCCCTAACGTGCCTAGCCAGGAGTCAACAAGGACCTGCGAAACCTGTAAATCTTTCATCAATCATGGCGGCTTTGTCTCTCAACAAAAAAATTATGAAAAAAGCTTTGAGAGTTGTCCTTGTGAATACCACCCTTATGTCGAGAACAATAACGCCACGGGTCCAAGCTCAAGCTGTTTTAATAAGCTCAGACTATACCGTCACACGATTGAGGATGTAGAGGTTTCGTGAATGGACAGAAATGTTTGATACAAGTCCTGTCAACACAGCGCCGTTACCAAACAGAACAGTGAAGCTGTGAGGGGAGAGGGGGGGAGGGTGGGGGAAGGGGGTTGGCGTGGCGGCCATTTTGGTAGTGAATATAAGCAGTTAACCGTCGCCACGCAACACAACCTGGCGCCTGGCGCCGTAACACCCGACACCACCCATGAGGCCCCTGGCGCCATCACAGCTCCTGTTATGAGCTCTAAACAACAGTTTAACCTGTTATCAAATATAAAGAAGCAAAATAATTTTAAATTTCAAATACGTCATTTGAACGTATTGCGACAAGACTTGACTGGGCCCAAAGTTATATATATCAGAAAACTCATCCCCGTGAAGGATTCGAACCCACACAGCTAGGAGCCCCATATACCTTCGCATACTTAGCACCTTACCCACTACACCACATTGACTGTTTACCTTACCTCACACTGAGTACCTTAGTGGGTAAGATGCTAGATATGAGAAGGTGTATGGGCCTCCTAGCTGTCTGGGTTCGAATCCTTCACGAGGATGAGGTTTCTGATTGAAAAATCAAGCCAATCAAGCAAACCTTGATTTATCCAGCAGGCGCCCAAGGATATAATCTCTTAAAAACTACGACCCCTCGGGAATCGAACCCAGACCGCCAAGAGCGCTGGCACTATGCACACTGCACGTACCTAACAGCCAGAGTTGCCTGACAGGCCAAATTTTCGGGAAATATTAAATTTTTCCAAACTCTTGTGAAATGATACATTCACAAGAACCCATTCGAAACCTAATTTATCCAAACCTAACAAACTAATCTAACATGAGTACTTCATGTTACTAATATAATAGATTGTTAGAAAAGAACCAATCTAGAAATATTTAAAAATAACTAAAATCATTTGGCCTGTTAGGCAAATCGGATTTTGCGTACTAGGAGAAGTAGTGCGGTTTTAGCCTTTAGGCACGAAATTATATATATATTATAGTACCACCGCTGGTTGTGTTTGGAAGGACCCTTCGCCTCGGAGAAGAGACTATATGGCACTCCGGGGTAAGCTTTGTACAAATCCACTCCCCACTCGCCTCGACACTTAAGAAAAACTCCCCCCCCCCCAAGTACTGCTCTTGAGAGAAAGATTCTCATTTGCGCACATCTGATAGGTAAGATATCTTTAGATTACAGTTTCCTATTACAGTACTTACAGTCTAATAAGATCAAGAATAAAGGGAATCTAAGTACTAGTAATTTTCAGCATATTACCAAACTTCTGTACTAAGCTCAACTTCTTCTTACAGGTCATATGTAATAAACAAAATTAAATAAAGCAACAGCCTAGTGGACCAAACTCTCACAAGTCAAGCCTGGCCTCGGGCCGGGCTTGGGGAGTAGAAGAACTCCCAGAACCCCATCAACCAGGTATCAACCAGGTAAAATGATTTAAACACGATTATATTTGATTTAGTCTCCTCTAAAATATAACTAGACATTGTAGTCTACATTAAGGGAACTATATATATACTGAATTGATCATTTTTCACTGCCATTTTCCCCAATTGCATTAAACTTTTCCCGCATTCGACAAGATTATTTGAGCAGAGTGAAGTTTATCAGAGTTAAACATGTTTTAATTTTGTTTTTTATCGGATAAAACGCGTTTGTGTATTGTTTACCTGGCAAACTCCACATCTTTCATGTGTGGTGGTTTGATAAGGGTATATAACATAACCCTCGTTATATTTTATATACTCTTGTTGTGGTAATCCTCTGATATAATTACACACAGAGATCACACTAACGTGATGCATCAAATGAACAAATCCAAAAGGGCCGTGACGATGATTCGAACCTGCGTCCGGGAGCATCCCAGACACTGCCTTAATCAATCTTAATCCCAGTAAGTTCAGTAGAACTTCGGTTTCAACCCTTTTACCCTGTCGTAGCTCAGTCGATTAAGGCAGTGTCTGGGATGCTCCCGGACGCAGGTTCGAATCATCGTCACGGCCCTTGTGGATTTGTTCATTTGATATAATGTATCACTTGTAATTAAAGCCTCGTTATGTCCGCTCAGAAAACTTGTCTGTTATGATCTGAATAACGGCGGTTTGTTGACATTGTGACGTCACGGAGCCCTTTAGGTGGAGTCAGCTGACCCGCGAACACTTAAAGGTTGTCTTACGTATCAAAACAGGACATCTTCATTAATCTTTTGCCAACCAGTTTTATTCCTTTTCTCAGCCGGGAGAAACAGACAAGTGTTAGTTCTACAAGATACACAAATGGTTGTATATAACCTTTACGACAAACTAAATTACAATTATGAGAGTGCCAGGAATGAGTGTTAGTCTCGAAGGAGGAGCTTTACAGAATACAGGAAAATACACTATCGAACGCTTTCAGTCCTTCGACCTATGCTAATGTATGACTTGCCAAATAAGCATATACTATGTATGACACTAGCAACTTGTGTATGTGGTGGTTAAGTGTGTACAAAGTTTGTGTTGAGCGCCTGAGGCATACATACACTGTAGGTGGCCTGGTAGGGAATTTTTTCATAGTGAGGGTCATCGTGTAGCAGGTGGATGGTCTGCAAGGAAAGAACAGGAACCCGATTACAGGTGTGTCGACAAGTGGGGCCGGGGAACCGCCCCTCTTGAGCTCCGACGACCACCCCCTCTACCGGCGGCACCTCCAGGAGAAGAAGAGAGGTTCCCCACGTCGCCCACCCCATCAGGAGGAGGAAGAGAAGAAAGAAGAGACGTTGCCACTAAAGATTTACCCTCTCCAAAGCCAAACTCATCAGTGCCGTTGACAAGATAAAGTTAAAAAAAGGGGCAATCGTTATTGATACATTCCACGATTCATTACTTGTTTGGGGGTCAAAACAGGTGAAGAATACATTGATAAAGGTCGGCCTCCTATATGATAGTGATATAAGCCAACACGGCGCCGCTCACCTTCACAACATTCATTAGAACAGTAATAAACTAACGGGACATCATTACAACAGGCTATGGCATGCAGAAATATCATACAAAATACAATATATCAAGTGAATGATTTGAAAACTACGTCTAATGTGTGTGTGTGTGTGTGTGTGTGTGTACATATAATAATATATATCTTCTGCAAAGTACTAGAACCGCCTAGAACTGGAAGCTGAGGGTGGTCGTGAGGATGGGGAGGAGGTTCAAGGGAGGGGAAGAATGGGGGAGGGAGTGCAGGAGAGATGGGGGGGGGGGAAGGGTGAGTGTGGAGGGGCCTCGCTTGGGGCTGGTACCGTGTTTCAAGGTATCGAGGCTACACCCACCAAGAGTTTGGCATCACAAACATGCTCCTCACTTTATATTTCCAAGAAGGGAACAGAGCTCCGAGTCTCCATTCCAGCAAGGATAGATAACGAGAGGAAAGGACAATAAAGCCTTCTCTCCCACGTTTGACTGGGAAAGTATACTAGTCCCCCCCCCCCCTATAGCGCCATCTAAGAATATATCATATAGTCTGTATATAACGAGCAATTTCCTTAGACTGCGAGTGGTCAACACACTATCTTTTGAGATTTACAAGATGGATTAAAACAATAAAAAAGGGTACTCTTGCTTATTTTCCCTGAAGAGTCTAACATACAGAGGGAATGGATGTTTCAGAAGCATATTGAAGTGGCCACACGGCTCAAAGTAGGGCCCCACTACACCATGTTTCTAACACCAATGTGACACTGATGTGTTTACAGTTTTTTTTTATTATTATTATTTTCTACCACAGACGTGGCCAGACATTTACAATGCTAACCAGCATATATGCTAACTCAGCACGACCGGGAGCCGGTCGGCCGAGCGGACAGCACGCTGGACTTGTGATCCTGTGGTCCCGGGTTCGATCCCGGGCGCCGGAGAGAAACAATGGGCAGAGTTTCTTTCGCCCTATGCCCCTGTTACCTAGCAGTAAAATAGGTACCTGGGTGTTAGCTGTCACGGGCTGCTTCCTGGGGGTGGAGGCCTGGTGGAGGACCGGGCCGCGGGGACACTAAAGCCCCGAAATCATCTCAAGATAACCTCAAGATATATACATTTTCTGCTGTCCTCCATGGACAGGGTTAGAGATGTGTTAAACATAGAGTTGAAAGGTTTATTGAACACTCAACCACAGAAGGTGATTCGGTGCTTTTAAAATGCTAACCTACATACGTAAATACATAGATACACAGATTTACAGGCAGTAAAAGTATCCTCAACTATAACCACACCGCTAACACCTCCCCCTATACACTTATAACCACTAGTTCATTTAATCATTTACTCTTTCAATCATGGCAACTGGAGGTGTCTTCTTCCCCCCTCTCGTCCACTTCTTCCCGCCATCTTGGGTCCCGTTGACCGACTGGTCGCTCCGCCTCATTGATTATGCAATTTAGCGAGATGGGGCAATTTTTCACAAGGTGCTCCACACGCCACCTGTGAATTGGGTTTCCGCACGCGAAATAAAAATCCAGAAAAGAAGAATACAAAAAACGAGTTTCAGGTCAGATCCCCAACAATGGAAGCGAGGTTTACCATGACGAAAATGAGATTCATGGAAGGTCCACCGCAAGGAAAACTGAGAATATGAATCATGGCGGCTTCAGCCTGAGTGGGAAAAGGATGGGGACCATGGGAGGTGGCCACAATATGCCATGGGAGGTGGCCACAATATGCCATGGAAGGTGGCCACAATATGCCATGGTAGGTGGCCACAATATGCCATGGTAGGTGGCCACAATATGCCATGGGAGGTGGCCACAATATGCCATGGGAGGTGGCCACAATACACCATGGGAGGTGGCCACAATACACCATGGTAGGTGGCCACAATATACCATGGTAGGTGGCCACAATATACCATGGTAGGTGGCCACAATATACCATGGTAGGTGGCCACAATATACCATGGTAGGTGGCCACAATATACCATGGTAGGTGGCCACAATATACCATGGGAGGTGGCCACAATATACCATGGGAGGTGGCCACAATATACCATGGGAGGTGGCCACAATATACCATGGGAGGTGGCCACAATATACCATGGGAGGTGGCCACAATACACCATGGAAGGTGGCCACAATACACCATGGAAGGTGGCCACAATACGCCATGGGAGGTGGCCACAATATACCATGGTAGGTGGCCACAATATACCATGGTAGGTGGCCACAATATACCATGGTAGGTGGCCACAAAGAGGTTAAAGAAAAATTATGAAAAAAACAAATACAAAAGCTTTAATGAAAGGAGGAATACGTGACGTATCCATTACGAAACGAAAATAAAAGTTCTCGCTTAGGCTGTGTAGATTTTGGCCAGAACAAAGAACACACAAGAACTACGGTGTTCTTGGAACAAAACATCTAGCGCCATGTTCACCCTATTTTACAACTTTTAAAGAACAGAAATATAAATTCTAGGCTCAGGACCCGGATTCACGAAGCAGTTACGCAAGCACTTACGAACGTGTACATCTTTCCTCAATCTTTAACGGCTTTGGTTACATTTATTAAACAGTTTGCAAGCATGAAAACTTGCCAATCAGCTGTTGTTATTGTTATAAACAGCCTCCTGGTGCTTCGGAGCTCATTAAGTACGTAAGTACTTGCGTAACTGCTTCGTGATTCTGCCCCCCAGAACAGTTGAAGAGGGGGCAGATCGATCCCCAGTAGCAAAGTCACCCTACACTGGAAAAGGGGTCAACCCATAAGCAAAGGTTGGCCAGGGAAAAAAAGGTAAAAAAAATATTGGAAATTCATCGTGGGACCTCCTCCCTATCCTGCACGTGCCTGGAATGCTTACCTATGCAGTTATGCACCCTGAGATCAACATGCAGAGCGCTCCAAGCAACAGCCAACACCACGAGGTACGTAAAAAAGCCAGCAGATTCGAAATGTTGAATGTCTTATCCACAAGCCGCTCCCTAGACCATTAATCTATGGAAGAAGACATGTCCAGCTCCTCCACAACACAAAAAACATACCTCAGAAGGAAAGAATAATTGAAATAACAGCAGCACACAGCAGTGCCAGCAGCGCACACACACCAGTGCCAAGAGCGAACACAGCAGTGCCAGCAGCACCGTCAAAGCACCGCCTCCTTGTCACAGTGCCATCTCTCGCTATACACAATTCTTCGCATGGCGCCAATACCAGCGAAAGAGAGACGCGTTCCGAACACTATTGATATTAGCCGGACACACAGTGGAGTCTCAAGGGGGGTGAGGAAAGGTAGATACATAGAGTAGAAGGTAGAGAGAGTAGGTACATGGACTTCACGCTGAAGAGGGGGAGGAAGAAGGAACAGAGGAAACTCGAGAGAAACAGTAATATAGAGATACGAGTCCATTCAACTGGGTTCTAGGAGACTCGAACCTTTGACTCTATGGCATGGTGAGCTCTAATTTTATGGTAATATGAAATGTTTTCAAGATGAGGCAAATATGGGATAGGGAGCGGGCTAGGACAGGAGAGGAGGAAATTTTCAGGGGGAAAGCGCCAAGCCATTACGACTATATAGCACTGGGAAAGCGTCAGGATAAGGAATAGGGATGGAACGAGGGAAAGGAATGGTGCCCCAACCACTTGGACGGTCGGGGATTGAACGCCAACCTGGGTGAAGCGAGACCGTCGCTCTACCGTCCAGCCCAAGTGGTTGGGACAGGAGAGGAGGGAGCCGAGGATAGAGCCAGAATGGTAGAGGTGACTGATGAAACTGTAATTAATCTGGCACAATAAAATCACTCACTGGAACCGAGGAGTATTGTATTAAATATATAATATATATATACGAGACATTTATCTAACCATCAGTTACCTCTAACGATCTCCACTTAACTCCCACACAGGAAGCGTCAAACCGGAGGGGACAAAACTCTGTACTCTAGAAGAACCACAGGTTATCCCTGAGGGGGACTAACACCATAAAACCATCCTTACCCATCTCTTATGCAAGCGTCATAATATCCCATGACTTAAGTTTAATTTGTGTCCCATTCATCAAGGGCCAGATTCACAAAGTAGTTACGCAAGCACTTACGAACCTGTACATCTTTCCTCAATCTTTGGCGGCTTTGTTTACAATTATTAAACAGTTAATGAGCTCCGAAGCACCAGGAGGCTGTTTATAACAATAACAACAGTTGATTGGCAAGTTTTCATGCTTGTAAACTGTTTAATAAATGTAACCAAAGCCGTCAGAGATTGAGGAAAGATGTACACGTTCGTAAGTACTTGCGTAACTGCATCGTGAATATGGCCCCTGATCTGGGTCTCGAACCGTGGACCCCCACCCGTGTAAGCCGTAGCTCTATCCACTGGGCTATGAGTACTCTTAATAAGGAAAGTTTCCAAAACCATCTCACGCCTCAACCAGGTGAATGGAATGGCTATTTCCAGTGAAGTGTGGATGACAAGTTATTTCATTTGGGTGTTTGGTGACGCCCACATGACCAACAGCTCTGAGGTAATACCACAGCTGATTATCTCCACACCTTGAGACTTTGAGATGATTTCGGGGCTTTAGTGTCCTCGCGGCCCGGTCCTCGACCAGGCCTCCACCCCCAGGAAGCAGCCCGTGACAGCTGACTAACACCCAGATACCTATTTTACTGCTAGGTAACAGGGGCATAGGGTGAAAGAAACTCTGCCCATTGTTTCTCGCCGGCGTCTGGGATCGAACCCAGGACCACAGGATCACAAGTCCAGCGTGCTGTCTGCTCGGCCGACCGGCTCCCACCGGTTCTAGTCTGCATTTCCTTCCGTATCTTCCGCTCCAGTTTTATATTATTTTACTGTTACAAATTTGGGACCTGGTCAAATTTACCAGGACATGGTAAGGCAATAAGGTCGATAGAACTCTACTGAGGCGTCTGGGATCCTCTCAGATGCAGGTTCGAACCCTCATCACGACCCTGGTGGATTTGTTTCAAATCTTCCAGGTCCCAAAATTTGTATTTTCCACACCACAGACCACATCTGTCGTGGAAGATACTATTGAAAAGCTGCTACTCACTCATTACAGACTCCCACTTAGAAAGAGAGAGAAATAATTTCGGGCTTAGGCCCATTAGCCTAAAAGGGTGATCGTCAGCCGAGGCGGTTGGGCTCTCGAAGCCCAGGTGCCACCGAGTGATTGATGAAGATTAAGCCACCCCCCGAAGAGGTGGCACGGGCATGAATAGCCCTTAACATGTGCCACCACGCAGCTCCTCAAAGATTGGTTGAAGTCAGAGACAGGTAGCATTCCTCCCCTCCCTCTTCCTCCCTCTCTACAACCTTCAATAGAACCAATAACTTCTCACCAAACTCACTAACAAAAAAAAAAAGTTGTCAGCGTTATTTTCAGCTTAAAAAAAAAACACATTTTAGTTACACTGTATTTGTTGGAATTCAAACTACTAAACTACCTATGTAATATTCTAGGCGCTCGTCAGCAGTTCGCTGATACAGTGTGATGATTACTGTGATGAGTTGACCACGTCTGTGGCCAACTCATCACAAGGGAGCCGGTCGGCCGAGCGGACAGCACGCTGGACTTGTGATCCTGTGGTCCTGGGTTCGATCCCAGGCGCCGGCTAGAAACAACGGGTAGAGTTTCTTTCACCCTATGCCCCTGTTACCTAGCAGTAAAATAGGTACCTGGGTGTTAGTCAGCTGTCACGGGCTGCATCCTGGGGGTGGAAGCCTGGTCGAGGACCGGGTCGCGGGGACACTAAAGCCCCGAAATCATCTCAAGATAACTCTTAAATAATTCTCGTTTCTGTATTCGAGAAACAAACGTACCCTTACCAGGGATCTACTCCAACAAAAAAAAAATAAATAAACTTTATGTGAGAAGTCATTGACATATGCCGTCCACTGTGGTGTTGGGCGCATTTAAGCTCTCGTCTGATCAATTTTATGTTCCGTGAAAGAATTATGATATCGATTATCTTCGCTGTTGTGTACTAGCGATTAAAATCGTTACTCTGTGAACGGCTTCTGGACGCCCCCAGAGTTCAGCCCCCATGTTCCTGTTAAATGATGCACCGGGGTTTACTGTTGCTCCTGTTACTTGCACCAGCGTTCACTCTTGCTCCTGTTACTTCGAACAACAATGCAGTAAATGCCAACAGACTGCAAGGTTGCAGGAGGTTGGGTACGAGTATGACTTAACTATCGCTGGATACTGCAAGCACAGCCAGGCCAGGCCGCAAGCACAGGCAAGCGAAAATAAACACACCGAGGCCAAGACCGTTAGTAGTTACAAAGCGTTATATGACAGTGCTGGGAAGACGGGACACCACGAGCGTAGCTCTCATCCTGTAACTACACTTAGGTAATTACACACACAAACTTCAGTGTCAGTAGTTAACAGATGGAATGCATTAGGCAGTGATGTGGTGGAGGCTGACTCCATAAACAATTTCAAATGTAGATGTGATAGAGGCCAAAAGGCTCAGGAACCTGTACACCAGTTGATTGACGGTTGAGAGGCGGGACCAATGAGCCAGAGCTCAACCCCCGCAAGCACAACTAGCCGAGTACACACACACACACACTTGTATGTATTAATACGATGTACTGAATGGGGTGAGAATAGCTTGAGCTACCTCATCCCTTTGTGTGTATTTTACCTCAATAAACTTATTTCAATTTCACACACACACGAACACAAACCCTAGAATGATCACCACCACCACTACGCCACCCAAGCACACAACAGCCCAGTATATCACGATTAATAGTACAATTTTAAATGATTTTATGTGACTCGAACCCTGACATCCCACCTCCCATTAGTCAATGAAAACGCTAATACTGAGGAGCTTTCACTGTCACTAACGCAGTGAACAATAACGCTTCCTATACTGTCTCCCTCAGTCTTAAGTTCCAAGCCTTACGTGAGCGGCAAACTGAACGCTTCAAGACTAAAAAGCTTGAAGATTTCATTAACCTTGAACAAGCATAACAAATTTCAACGAATATTACATGAACATATTACATCGAAAAACGGTAGTTCTGAAGTTCTTATTTTCGTACATCCCTTTAAGGATGAACGTATATCTGTATTACCTAGAGTCAAAATGAGTCAGTCTCAGTCTCTCTCTCTCTCAGTCTCTCATCTTGGTCTCAGTCTCTCTCTCTCTCCCAGTCTCAGTCTCTCTCTCTCTCTCTCTCTCTCCCAGTCTCAGTCTCTCTCTCTCTCTCTCTCTCTCTCTCTCTCTCTCTCTCTCTCTCTCTCTCTCTCTCTCTCTCTCTCTCTCTCTCTCTCTCTCTCTCTCTCTCTCTCTCTCTCCCAGTCTCAGTCTCTCATCTTGGGTACATCTTAGTCTCTCATCTTGGGTACATAGATTAGAGATTAAAACGATCAACAGCATCACAAGTTCGAAGACTTGGCTTTGAATCTCTGTGGTGGTTTGAAGTCGCGTGGCAGAGTATCATCCCCCCCAGTAAACAAACACAACATAGCTACAATATTATTCACTACAATGTTGGGGGGTTATGTGGTGTTTTGCTGGGGTGTAGCGCACGCCAACACAAGAAACTTGCATGGGAGACAATCTCATTGTGTAGGTGCAAATGTTAGATTCGGTTCCTGTGCCCTGAAGCTACCACCAGCACAAGCGAGGAAGGTCCTGGTCCTACAGGAAGCAGAGGCCGCTCAAGCAAGGTCCACAAGTCGGGGGGGAGGACTTGTGGACCTATTGATCTCCCCTACCACACAAGCATCACCATTACAAGCACCAGCCCTCCACTATTCTAAGCGGTTCCCTGCCAAGTAAATTCTGCCATTTACCTAAGCAAACAAAATATTTACGGATCTTCATAATTTTAACTTATGGCAAGATTATTTAAATGTCATTAAATACTTGTTTTTAATTAGTTGCTGAAGCCTATTATTGCCCAATGGGTATGACATAAGTTGGTATTGACTCCATGTATCCCAGAAGCACTATGTCCGACCCCCAATAGCAGGCGGGCAAGCTGTGTGTGTGAGTGCGTGTGAGTGCATGTGGAGGTACTCACCACAGGGCTGGACTCGACCTGCTCCCTGAGCAGGCGTTCCTCGGAGAGGGAGTAGCGGGCGTCGTGAGTAAGGGCGTCCACGGGGCCCTTTTCCACCTGGTGCTTGATGGCCTTGTAGAGCAGGAACAGTGCCGTCCCAGCGTCCCCCTGCCACGAGTAATGATGATTAATAAATATATTACTATGTAATTCTAACGTTAGACAAATTAATGAGGCAGCGTGGGAGCCAGAACAGAGGCCAACGACTGTAATTACTTACTGGCAATCCTCCTGCTCCAGGAACCACCACTAGCACACAGATATGGCAAGAGACACACAGATAACAGCCAATCTGCGACGCAAACTCATACTGACAAAAAAATGGTATAGTATCCCCCAGAATTGATCGAGAAAGAGCTATAGGAGCAAGCAGAATGCTCACCTTAAGGTAGCTATACATGCAGAGTGCCATCCAGTTGGTGAGCATCTTCTCGACCACGCTTTCTGTCCTCCGCAGCATCAGTTGTGGATGCTTGGTGGCGGCGGCGGACGACACTAGACGCAGCATTAGGCAACGCATCACTTCCGTTAGGTACTCCATCCGGCTCATCTGTAACACTGTCACCAGTGACGCCACATTCACTCTGGAATGCAACAGTGTGATGTCAGGTATGGCAACACAGTCATTTTTACACGTCAATTGTCCCCTCCCCCAATAACACGTCAACTATCCTCCCCCTCAATCTCCTAGAAACATGTCATCTATCCCCCCTTCCCCAGTCTCACGTCAACTACCCTCCCCCTCAATCCCCTAGAAACATGTCATCTACCCCCCTTTCTCCAGTCTCATGTCAACTACCTCCCTTTCCCGTGTCACCTCAGCCCTTCACTCCTACAAATCCCTCTACCCACCTCAACCTCACCCCCCCCCCACCTCAAGCCACATGCCCCCCTCGTCAGCACACCCCACCCCCCACCTAGTTGCCTGCCAGCCACTAATTACATGATCGCTCCATTATTACGGGCATAAAACACTGCCTCATGCCCAGCATTACTGTACCTAAAATAAAGGTGGAGCATCGAACAGAGTGAGTGAGAGAGTGAGAGAGTGAGAGAGAGAGAGAGAGAGAGAGAGAGAGAGAGAGAGAGAGAGAGAGAGAGAGAGAGTGTGTGAGTGTGAGTGAGTGTGAGTGAGTGTGAGTGAGTGTGAGTGAGTGTGAGTGTGTGTGAGTGAGAGTGTGTGAGAGTGTGTGAGAGTGTGTGTGAGTGTGTGTGTGAGTGTGTGTGTGTGTGTGTGTGTGTGTGTGTGTGTGTGTGTGTGTGTGTGTGTGTGTGTGTGTGTGTGTGTGTGTGTGTGTGTGTGCGTGCGCGCGTGCGTGCCCTCCCCCCCCCCCACACACACACAAGGGGTGCTCCTATTGTGTCGTGTGGCAGTGATGGCCACTCCCACAGCTGTTGGTCACTCCCACAGCTGATGGTCACTCCCACAGCTGATGGCCACTCCCACAGCTGATGGCCACTCCCACAGCTGTTGGTCACTCCCACAGCTGATGGTCACTCCCACAGCTGATGGCCACTCCCACAGCTGATGGTCACTCCCACAGCTGTTGGTCACTCCCACAGCTGTTGGTCACTCCCACAGCTGTTGGTCACTCCCACAGCTGTTGGTCACTCCCACAGCTGTTGGTCACTCCCACAGCTGATGGCCACTCCCACAGCTGATGGCCACTCCCACAGCTGATGGCCACTCCCACAGCTGATCCACAGTGTCTGTCCTTCAATGTTTAGTTTTTACTAAAATTCGATCTCTCTATATATTTTTGTTGTCCACATTTTGTACCATTGGTCGTCCAATCAAAACCCAGGTCGTAGCAGTCGGCTACCCAACCGTTTCCCTTGATTTCTAAAATAATGTACAATTTCCCCATATCTGTACTAAATTTCTTTACGAGTAAGAAACCATGCCCAACCGTCTCGCTCTGCCCGGGAATCGAACCCTGGACCAATCGGTTGCGACCCAACTGTATATATAAAATGGAACCAATCGTATTGGCGTTTGCCTTTCCATTGGAGTTTTTCGGTACCGTGGAGAGGGGAAAGGGACCTGCTGCATGGGTAACAGCTTCTCCGTATCAACCTACCTTGGCTTTACACCCTGGAGAGGCCACTCCAGACCGACAACCAGAACGCAACTCCATAGTCTCCTGAGACTGATGTTATCTTGAGGTTATCTTGAGGTGATTTCGGGGCTTTAGTGTCCCCGCGGCCCGGTCCTCGGCCAGGCCTCCACCCCCAGGAAGCAGCCCGTGACAGCTGACTAACACCCAGGTACCTATTTTACTGCTAGGTAACAGGGGCATAGAGTGAAAGAAACTCTGCCCATTATTTCTCGCCGGCGCCCGGGATTGAACCCGGGACCACAGGATCACAAGTCCAGAGGCCTACTACTACTATTTTACCTAAATAAACATTATATTATTATAATAACCGAGTTTAGGGAAGATACAAAGTGGAAGTGTCTCACAGGAGGCCAATAGGCCTTTGCAGTTTTGTTATGTAAAGTCTTATGTTGTTACTTACTTGTCTCGAATACTGAAGGACTTCTGGGACTCGAGGGTGTCTATGAAGGAGAGGAGGAAGTGCTTGTTGGCGACCAGCTGCTCGAACTGCAGCATGGCCACGTCGTAGTTGGTGCGGGGACCAGGTACTCGAGCCTGTAGAGGGAGACACGAACCATACACTTTATTAACCACTTCACATTCACTACACAAACCCTTCTATGCTTTCTCCAAGAAGAAAACTGTATAAAACAGTAACTGATCTGGCATGATATATTTAGTTTCTCCAATATTATATATATATATATATATATATATATATATATATATATATATATATATATATATATATATATATATATATATATATATATATATATATATATATGCGAACAAGCCTGAATGGTCCCCAGGACAATATGCAACTGAAAACTCACACCCCAGAAGTGACTCGAACCCATACTCCCAGGAGCAACGCAACTGGTATGTACAAGACGCCTTAATCCACTTGACCATCACGACCGGACATAATGAGGTGATAGCCGAGGCTATTTGAACCACCCCACCGCCGGCACTCGATAGTAATCTTGGGCATAGCATTTTACCAAATCACCTCACGTGTGCCCTAAAGAATGAGGTGATTTGGTAAAATGCTATGCCCAAGATTACTATCCGAGTGCCGGCGGTGGGGTGGTTCAAATAGCCTCGGCTATCACCTCATTATGTCCGGTCGTGATGGTCAAGTGGATTAAGGCGTCTTGTACATACCAGTTGCGTTGCTCCTGGGAGTATGGGTTCGAGTCACTTCTGGGGTGTGAGTTTTCAGTTATATATATTATATATATACAGTATATATATATATATATATATATATATATATATATATATATATATATATATATATATATATATATATATATATATATATATATACACACACACACACACACACACTAAACACAGAATGCTGTATATAAGTATTTTGGGGAAACCATTTAAAATTTAAGCATCAACGTTTTAACAATTCGTAAAATTATTTGCAAATTAAATATAGTCCACACAGAAATCACAATAGCGTGATGCATCAAATGAACAAATCCACAAGGGCCGTGACGAGGATTCGAACCAACGTCCCAGAGGATCCCAGACGCTGCCTTAATCGACTGAGCTACGACATAGTTAAAAGAATTGCAACTCTCGGACGTAAATTCGAACCCTCGTCACGGCCCTTGTGGATTTGTGCATTTGAGTAACGCGACGTCCAGACAGCCTTTGGCGGAACTGAGGACAGGGGAAGAAGGGTGTCGAGGAAAGGCTAGGAGACGGGGATGTGGGGAGGGGAGAGGTAAGGGAGGGAGGGGATAGGTAAGGGGGGGTCGGTGATCCATCATGGGGGTGACGGCCTGACAGCCCCCATCCCCCCTCCACAACACTTTTAACGACGGAGAGAGAAGGGCGCCGTAATGCTCCCTGGGGGGGTCAGGCACCCCCGCCCCGACACACCTCCACTACCACCAATTCATCAGACTAATTGCTCACCCAGATTACCTCCCATATTAATGGTTCCGTAAATAACAACCACACAACGCACCTGCCACACCCGATAAATAACAGACCAGTCACGCACTTATTCAAGCCACACCCTTTGATATTAACTGTAAGCTCTCCTTTCGTGACATACGCAATTAGCTCTTTAATTAGGAAGAGCTGTGTGGTGATCGACGGGTCGGGCGCAGAGTGGGCCACGCTGAAGATGTAAAAGGCACTCTTGAGAGTCGAAGTAGAGAAAGGAACACACCCACGTCAAAGAGAGAGTCGAAGTAGAGACAGGAACACACGTCAAAGAGAGTCGAAGTAGAGACAGGAACACACGTCAAAGAGAGAGTCGAAGTAGAGAAAGGAACACACGTCAAAGAATTTGATCAGCTTCAAAAGGACTGTAACTACCCGTCCCATCCTCCCTTCCCTACCATTCGTGAAAACCCGAATATCCAAGTCCATCGCCTCACTAACGGTGACCATTGTTACCGTCCAGAACATCCACCCATCACACCAAGTTGCCTGGAAAGTAAGTACTTCGAAGTCCAAGCTTCCAGATCGCGAAGTGAGAACCTGCACTCAAGTATTCCCAGATCTTGAGCACCTCCACCGCCCATGTTAACGCACCTGACACATTTAGATACACTGGAAGGGGGGTAGAGTACAGGCAAAGGTATGACATACGCGGTAGTACATAGGACATAGAATTACACCCACGTATACCTCTCTCCCCCGTCCTTTCTTATGTCGTATTATTCCCCCCCACACAAAACACCCCCATCTATCCCATTCTCTTCCCTTCCGAACACTAGATGGCTCTCACGACTTTATCCCCCAATTTATACCGAAAGGTTCCTTCATGCTTCGATTTATTTACCGAGAGGGAATCCTGTTTCTTTTCACACACAAAACCGAGCTGGACTCTGCGGCGATAAACAGAGGGAGTCTCCAGTTTTTTCCCTCGGCAAATTACAAAGCGGCTCTCGCTATGAATATTCAGGAGCCCGAACATTGCTGCTACTATGATAAGTGCGTTGGGAGAGTAGAGAGACGGAGGAAGAGGGGAAGTCAGAAGAGAGGGAGCTTGGGCTCTCTCTAACACAGAGACGGGGGAAGAGGGGAAGTCAGAAGAGAGGGAGCTTCGGCTCTCTCTAACACAGAGACGGGGGAAGAGGGGAAGTCAGAAGAGAGGGAGCTTGGGCTCTCTCTAACACAGAGACGGGGGAAGAGGGGAAGTCAGAAGAGAGGGAGCTTGGGCTCTCTCTAACACAGAGACGGGGGAAGAGGGGAAGTCAGAAGAGAGGGAGCTTGGGCTCTCTCTAACACAGAGACGGGGGAAGAGGGGAAGTCAGAAGAGAGGGAGCTTGGGCTCTCTCTAACACAGAGACGGGGGAAGAGGGGAAGTCAGAAGAGAGGGAGCTTGGGCTCTCTCTAACACAGAGACGGGGGAAGAGGGGAAGTCAGAAGAGAGGGAGCTTGGGCTCTCTCTAACACAGAGACGGGGGAAGAGGGGAAGTCAGAAGAGAGGGAGCTTCGGCTCTCTCTAACACAGAGACGGGGGAAGAGGGGAAGTCAGAAGAGAGGGAGCTTCGGCTCTCTCTAACACAGAGACGGGGGAAGAGGGGAAGTCAGAAGAGAGGGAGCTTCGGCTCTCTCTAACACAGAGACGGGGGAAGAGGGGAAGTCAGAAGAGAGGGAGCTTCGGCTCTCTCTAACACAGAGACGGGGGAAGAGGGGAAGTCAGAAGAGAGGGAGCTTCGGCTCTCTCTAACACAGAGACGGGGGAAGAGGGGATTTCAGAAGAGATGGAGCTTCGGCTCTCTCTAACACAGAGACGGGGGAAGAGGGGAAGTCAGAAGAGAGGGAGCTTCGGCTCTCTCTAACACAGAGACGGGGGAAGAGGGGATTTCAGAAGAGATGGAGCTTCGGCTCTCTTTAACACAGGGCGAGACACTAGGAATTGAATTGAAATTGAAATAAGTTTATTGAGGTAAAATCCACACAAAGGGATGAGGTAGCTCAAGCTATTCTCACCCCGTTCAGTACATCGTGTTAATACATACATAGACACACATCACAAGCAATAAACATATTACCAAACATTCTGAGAGATAAACATATACATTTCCTCCTTCACAAGTAGTATGGTATCAGACACTAGGAAAGGATATCGTTAAAGTGACGAGGTGTAGACGACGAAGAGGGAGAAAGGTGTACAGAGGAAGAAGAGAGAAAAAAACATTCCAGGAGAAAGTGGGGCTGTGTTGGAAGGAGAGACTGGCAGCCAAGTGGTGTTAGGAAGAGTGGAAGAGAGACCAGAAGGTAGAAATTGAAGGGAACTATCAGGGGGAAAGCGCCAAGTCATCATGACTATATAACACTGGGAAGGGATCAGGATAAGACTGTGATGGGACAGGAAGGAAGGAATAGTGCCCAACCACTTGGACGGTCGGGGATTGAACGCCGACCTGCACGAAGCGAGACCGTCGCTCTACCGTCGAATCCAATTTCTTCAGAAATTGAAGCGTATTAAAAAGATATGCACCACTGGTAACTAATTACAAGAACAGAGTCACTAACTTATGTTTACAGTCACTTATGTCTTTGGCTCAGACAGTTGAGCCAATTACAAGGAATAACATTACCTGATTGAGATTCTCCGATCTTGAATTACCTTGGGACATTGATGTAAAAACTAATATCAATTCACATATCGTGCCCAAAACTTCTCCAATATGAATGAGGATTTAATAAATTTAACTTTATGATAAAGTGACAAACCGTTCAAAAAAAAAGTGACAAACGTCCAATAAAACATTAAAGTATTTGACACTTTTTTGTCGACTGCTTTGATTTTTTTTTGTATTGACCGTTAGACATTTTTTTGAACAGGTTATGTGTCCTTTTCTTCACATTTGAACAGGTTATGTGTCCTTTTCTTCACATTTGAACGGGTTATGTGTCCTTTTCTTCACATTTGAACAGGTTATGTGTCCTTTTCTTCACATTTGAACGGGTTATGTGTCCTTTTCTTCACATTTGAACAGGTTATGTGTCCTTTTCTTCACATTTGAACAGGTTATGTGTCCTTTTCTTCACATTTGAACAGGTTATGTGTCCTTTTCTTCACATTTGAACGGGTTATGTGTCCTTTTCTTCACATTTGAACGGGTTATGTGTCCTTTTCTTCACATTTGAACGGGTTATGTGTCCTTTTCTTCACATTTGAACGGGTTATGTGTCCTTTTCTTCACATTTGAACGGGTTATGTGTCCTTTTCTTCACATTTGAACGGGTTATGTGTTCTTTTCTTCACATTTGAACGGGTTATGTGTCCTTTTCTTCACATTTGAACGGGTTATGTGTCCTTTTCTTCACATTTGAACGGGTTATGTGTCCTTTTCTTCACATTTGAACGGGTTATGTGTCCTTTTCTTCACATTTGAACAGGTTATGTGTCCTTTTCTTCACATTTGAACAGGTTATGTGTCCTTTTCTTCACATTTGAACAGGTTATGTGTCCTTTTCTTCACATTTGAACAGGTTATGTGTCCTTTTCTTCACATTTGAACAGGTTATGTGTCCTTTTCTTCACATTTGAACAGGTTATGTGTCCT